GCAGCTTCGTGAAATCGGGCATGAAGTCTGTAGCAGTGTTTGTGTCTACCTTTTCCACTTGGTCGAGCGCTTCATCCATATCCTCAGAAACCGCGGTGCCTTTCTTCTTTTTCCCGGCGCGTTTTTTTTTCACCTCCAATGGCTTGGCCGCACACTCAACGCTTCCAAGTTGCCACCAATTTTGCAATAGAAAAGCGCACAACTCCAGCTTCTCGGCATCCACCTGTTGCTTTTTCAATTCAATACTCAACAACTGTACTTGAAGATTAATGAAATTCACAAATATTAACGCGCGCTGCTGGTTGTTGCTAGCCGCATCCAAGGTGACGCCGATCGCCTTTCTGTAGATAGCATGAATAACGCGTAACTGGTACACCTCTAAGCCGTCGAATTTGAAGGATTTATTACAAAAATCCACACATTCCGAACGCGGCATACAGCACTCAATCAAAGCAATGGAAGCGCTTGCATGCTCCTTATAGATAACGCCCGCTTTCTGCGGCTTCTCTATCGTCTTCATGAAACCGCTTTTAAAAGATTGGTAAATATTATGTAGCAGCATTGGCTCAAGCGTCAAACCCTTGCGGAATGCAATATCAATTAGCGGGTAAACCAGTTCCTTCTTATGCATATGCGTCGGCAAGAGCTGCACGAATTCGTCGTCTAACTGCGCATCGCGCTCAAACAACAAACAGGCGAGCTTGATAGAAGACTTGGAAAGGCGTCGTTCGATAAAGAATGCGCCAAAAAATTTTGCACCCAATTGTGGTATATACTGATGTGCTATACTTAAGAAATCGTATAGCGCTTCCTCCAGCTGTTCATAGCCCATTTCGGCACCAAAACGCTTAACTAAACTCACATAAAGCTTAACGAACTTGCGTACAAAATCGCATTTCACCGCCTGCTTCAACGCGGCCAAGCGCTGCAATACGCACACCAACAACTCATAGTAGATGCTCTTCTGCATTGTCTCCACGAGCACCAAGTCGCTGTATTTCAGTTTTGTCACCAACAATTCGAGCACTTCAATGCATTCACCAGCGCACAGCTGTAAAGCGCGCACCAAACGCACTGCATCCTGCAGCTGTTCGCTAGCCGCCTTTGTTTGCTCGACCGTCTGTATAGATATGGCAATTGCTTTCACCACTTTTAGGCGACAATTCAAAGCATGCGTTACAAAGCAAGGGTGGCCATTGCAACGTTCCGAAAGCAAACGCAAGAAATAGAGATAACTCAGCTGCGTTTCGTTGCTGGCGCTGATTAGCTCACTGCTTTGTATGCGCGTTAAACGTAAATTAAAGATGTATTTAAACAAATTATCCAGGAAATTATAGTCCTGCTCACCATTTGAAATCAGCGGTTGCTCGGCAGTTGTTAACGCGCATAGGACTTCAACAGAATCGCCCAGAAAATCGGCTGCTGCCTCGGCTTGCCTGCGCGTCAGGCGTTGCTTCTCTACCAATTGTGCAACCACGAAGAGCGCTTGCTGCACGTAGATCATCAGTAACCGTTCACTTTTCAATTCAGCGCTGAGCTCGACTGTTTCGCCGCGTAGTGTCACTTCAAGCGCTTGCGCATCAGACTTCGACTTAGCGAAAAATTTTGCAAATTTGACTTCACCGCGTACTAACGCGTCGTGCAGTTGTGCCAAAACGCTCAATTCTGCGGGCAACTTAGCGCTTGTTAGCGATAATTCTTTAGTGCTAGCGCCTAGCCAACTGCACATATAGTTTTCGAGCGTATTAAACTGTTGCTTATATAATTCAAACACTTGTTCAGGATTCGGGTAGTAGTGGTATAGCAGTAGACAGACAGTTTCTAGGTATTTATCTAGTGGCGTGATAATTGCAACACCCTTAAAAATGAGCGGCAACAGCTTGCTTATCGAAACACTCTCCACATACGCTTGTACCGAGAGCCCGCTTTCGATGTTCTCAAAGAGTTTTTTCAAATTTTGCTCATTCAGTACGTTTTCAGTTGTTTTCGGCATCTCAACATCTACACGCGTGACCTGTGAGTAGATAATGCATTGTAAATGTATAATATATACTTTGAAGAACTTTTACGCACCTGCAGCGCTTCAATGAACACCTGAGTCACTACATCTACCGTGTCAGCATCGAAGAAACGTAACGTTTCCAGCCACAAATCGATTTCCCAAACGCCGGAATCGAAAAGTCCGGTATTCAAAAATATCTTATGCAACAACTGACCCGCTTCAACACGCACCTCATCGCTGCCATATATGAAAGCTTTAATGAATGACTTCAAAACGCTGCTAAATAGCTGCTCGGTGGGCTCTAGTGCTTTTGGCAACAACAACAGGATGGTTTTTATAGCCTTCAACTCCAATTTAATGTTGCCTGTTCCAATGCTAGCATCGTTCGCCTCATCGCCGGCGTACAGAGGACGCAACAGATCCAAGTAATCCAAAATGGTGCTGGTTTTATTCACAAAAGAACGATGCTCTTTGCAAATAATCAACAACAAATCTAGTGACACATCTAAATGATCCAACACGGTCACCTCCTCGGCTTCCTGATCTTTTATAGACATATACAGCGAGAAGAGTATCTCCTCGACAGTGGGATAATTCACCAAAATATGATTTAAAATATCCAAACGAAAGCGACGCAACGAATTCAAATTGTCACGCGCCTCTTCACGTTTCGTTATTGCTGCCATATAGGAGGAATACTGCGCAAACATGGCATACAACAACTTGTTGGCGGCTAAACGAAAGCCAAAATTCTTATGACGCACCATTTTTGCGCCCGTCAACAAAGCCAACGTTTCGATAGGCAAGCAGACGTCCTTAATGAAATAGGTGCAGTCGGTTAGTGTAATTTTATCCAATGCAGCACGTAATAATTGTGGTTGCAATGTGGATATTATTTTTGTGAGAAATTCACAAGTTGCAATCCAATCGCGCTGTGCCGTGCGCATAGGATTTATAATGCCAGCAAAATGGCGTACTGTGTGACGTGCGAGGTCCGGACAAGTGGCGAGTATACGTATAACCAACTCTGATTTACGTTCATTACACCAGGGTTTATAGAGTTGACCGATAACTTTGCCTGCATTGTATAAAAAATAATAAATTATGTGTTACATCCCACAAAAAATATTAATGATTTACGCACCCTGTATTGCGTTATGTTTTTGCCGGTAATTTGTCACCGCATCAAAACAGATGCCATGCTTACGTGAAGTCAATAGCAGTAGCAGAAATTCATGTGTTACTTTCGCCACAGCATCACGCTCATCTGCATTCACCAACGACTCAATTTGATCCAAAGGCAACTGTGTGTGTGGCCCCTGCTTACCCGCACACTTGGTGGCGTACACTTTGGGTCCGAACCAATCGTAGAGACGCGCAAAGTATCTACAGCATTCAGCGTCGAAGACATGTATTTTCTTGGTTTTCGATATTTCATTGCATTCCAATACATATTTACGTAATGTGCTGACCACGACACAGACTGTTAGGTGATCATCATATTGCAAACCAGAGGCGAGTGCACGTATCAGTGCGCCACGATCCAGTATATTACGTATAAGCAGTGTATTACCGTCGATTAAGTAGGCGAGCACAAAATGTATAAAGCATTTACGCACAGTATCGAATTCTTTCAATTCTTGCGGTGAATGTGAAAGCATATTTTCGATTGTCTTTACATTGGACAGTATGTCGTATGAGGCGAGTAATTGACGCCCTAATTGTGGATCGACACACACAATGGCAGTGAGTAATTTAAGCGCGGTACGCCGATGTTGCAATTGTGCGGATTTAAGCAGTTGATCGATCACAGTTCCATGTGATTTGAGGAAGTAACGTGAGGCATATACCGCCGACTCCATGTGCTCCTTTTGATTTGATACAATTTCCATTAATACAAGCTGCAACGCTTGACAAAGGTAACCGATGTGTAGCACATTCGTTTTGTCCACACGCTCAAGCGCTTCAGCCAGTTCAAGCGGTTTACCACGCTTTTCTATATATTTAGCGACTAGTTTGGGGCGTGACTGTATAATATGCAGAAAGTGGCGGAGCTCTAAGCAAATAAATACATACGTATAATTTGAGTCAATATGAGCAGTTTATTCAAAAAAATGTTTACCTGTTATGAAACTATTGGTGCGCAGCTTTGTACGAAAGTTTAACATTTTGAAATCTTTTGAAAACTTCATCGCTTTCTCTTCGTAGCCAGAATCGTCCTCTTGCATTTTATCTGTTTGCTTAACACTTCTCATGTCCCCTATTTCTTCTTCTTCCTTCTCTTGTACATCAGTCGCATGGTCAACATTACCGTTTATAATTTTTTCATCCTCAGGTTCTTCCTGCTCTATCGCAGGATGCTTACCTTTTTTCTTTTTATGCTGATTTTCATCCTCCTTGGCTTGTTTTATTTTCTTCGCGATCTTTTTCGGCACTGCAACTTCTCCATCATCAGGCAAGTCTTTCCCATCCTCCTGCACGTTCTGATGTTTTCGTTTTCTTTTATTCTTTGCCGCGATAGCCATTTTCTGTAAGTTTGTAATTTCACATTAAATTCTAGTTTATTTATAAATTCTAACGCTATTTAAAATTTACAGTTTCTATATATTTTTATATTGGAAAATATCATGCAGTTAACTTTGCACGTGTGTTCTTATTTGACGTTTACTCTTGAATGTCATTTTCTTGCCCTTTGTTTTTTTTTTTCAGTTTCTGCTCTTTCTGCACACAGCTGATTTTGATTGGAATTAGTGTCATTTATGGCCCGTTTACATGAACTTTGCTTCTCTTTGCGTCAAACATTAATTTTGACAGAAAAGTTCCATGTACGCTTTTGTATGAGTATTAAAAGTTTTTCACGCTTTGCCAAGCAATCGTCGCCAGTTTTATTAGGGGGAAATTCTGAATGCATTGCTTTCGTTGTGGCATGCCATTTGTTTTTTGCGATACCTTCTTTATGTATGAACTGGCACGTAAAGCATGTAAAATTGTACGTGAATACGTCTTTAGTCTCGAAATTTTTATTTTGAATTTAACGCTTAGCCGAACCCTAAAATTTAGGACCTACTGAACTTACTACACAGTGAGAACGGGAATAGCTTTTTAACTTTTTTTCCTATAACCCATATACATACTATATCGCATTATATATTTTTTTTATGACGTAACAATTTTTAATTTAACATATGTAAGCATGACTATAACAGTATAAATCTTTACAACTAGCAGCCGTTTGAATGTATTATTATTTCCTAATTATGAATTGTAAAACTAATTGGAATTATCCACCCGTCAGGCCCGCCATGTAGATATTCAAGACATCTGGATTTGCATGTACAAATTTTCTCCTCTTAGGTATAGGCTGTATGTGTGGTAAGCGTGTGCCATTTAGAGCATTTGGACTTGGCGCATAATCGTCATCATCATCATCAGCGTCGGCGGCGTCATCACCTACGACATGCACATATTCACGTCGGCGTCGCATCGCTTCCTGTTGTTTTCGCTTTAGCTTTGCTGCTGCTGCAGCACTTGTAGATGGACCCTCCTCAATTGTTGACTGTGATCTACTTTGTTGCTCCTCACTGACACTGACTGCTGTTGTACTTGTTGTTGTTGTGGTTGACCTTTTTTTTGCCGCATGCAGTGCCCGTTGTTGTCGGCTAGTAATGGTATCATCTTGATCTGTAACTGAAGAGGATAACTCCAAGGATCTTTGATGTTGCGCCTTTTTTAGTTCTAGAGCCCGTCTAATTTTTTCTAAATATATACGTTTTAGTTGTTCCGCACATTGTTTACAAACCGGGTCTTCACTGCGAAAATCAATGCGTCGTTTACGAACAAATTCAATGAGTTTTGGATCCTTAATTGTTGTATTCGGTTGTCGCAGCAGATGGTTATCCTGAGCTAACCCACATTTTACTCCCCGTATGCGCATCATTTGCATTTAACACGAAACATTTAAAATATATATGCTTGATAATTTCAAATATGTTTTTGATGCAATTTGATAGAGATGTGTCAATCGTATATCGATATCACAAAAATAAATGCGATTAGTGCTGTCAATTTGTATTTTTTTATGATGGATTTTGTAAGTTTCAAAATATCCCGTAAAATTTCAATTGACTTAATTAAATATATATGTATATATTTACATCAATGCACCTATTTTCTTATAATTATAGCCTGAACAGTTACTTCAGCTGATTACAGACCTGATAGTTGTGTTATTTTGAAGTTGTAAGGTATTTGAGTTGAATTCATTATTTTTAGTGTTTATGTTGGAGAAATAATATAAAAGGTTAGGGGTAGTCAGAATTTTCAAATATTTTTATTAGTCACTCCGAAATCTGATAAGAGATACCCACATTGAGACTAGTAGTAGCCACAAGGACGCAATTGTGTTATAGCTGAAATTGAATTTTAATGATGCTCTCTGCTTTAGTCATATCCCGGACACATACATGATTTCAATGTTTAAAGAACTGCGATGATAAAAAGAGTTATAGTATCTAATGTGGAAAATAGGTAGTGAATACACTCATTTCAGCGAGTCTTAAAAATATTTAAAATATATAAAGTTGTTAAAACTGAAATACCTATAGGAATTCATGTTGTTCAGAAGCGCGTTATGCCTTCAGACATAATTCTTGAAAATTTGTCCATGCTGGATAGCTGTCTGACAAGAGATCATTAAGGTTTAGCACTCTTCGCCAACCGCTCTTGTGGTTCCAATTTAAGCTATATGCTCGGAAAGGATCTCCACATCGATGTAGCTCTTTGTTTTGGTACGAATACAAAATTGTAAGAAAATGACAAAGAAAAAAATCTTATTTATCTTATCTTAAAAATAACAGAAAACAATACTATACGTCTAACATCAATATCCACGCTTAATCATAGGATGTAATTAAAGGCAGTAGGTTCTTGCTTTCATTTTTCTTTTTAATTTGTGTTCTCTTTGTTTTTTCTTGTTGTTGTTTATGTTTTTTCTTTTTCAATAAGATAATATCATGTTCATTTGCATTTTTATGTCCATGTTCATGTGGTTTTTCTTGTTTTTGTTGTAGATATTTGTTATCCTTTGCTTTGTTAATAGTTGCTTTTGTTTTGTATTTATCAATATTTCTCATCTGAGAGTTGCCGTTTGACTAGCAAGCTGATATTCACCGTTTCCTTCCTTTCAAGATCTTGCTTACTGCCAACACGAGCACAATACGCTGGATGTTTTCAAATATTTTGCAAATAGTTGTAGTTGTTGTTGCGGTTGTTTTAGTTGCAGTGTTTGTTGAGGATGTATCAATAACTTAAATAATAATCTCAATATCAAACGTTACGTCGCATCAGGTGGCCAACGACGCCCAAAGATGCAGAATGTTGTCAGGCATCACCGGCACCGCCCACTGGCACACCAACAACACCAACGCTGCCCGGTGCTCCCGACCCACCTTTGGGCGTGTATACAGACGCATTTGGGTCGAGGCTTGAACCGCTGTTAATGCTAGCGCCCGGCGAAGACGCCGATACAAACACCGGCGTGCCCACCGACACGGGCACTAGCTGTTGCTGCTGTTGTTGCTGTTGCTGATGTTGCTGATGCTGTTGATGTTGCTGATGTTGCTGATGCTGCTGATGTTGCTGCTGCTGGTGTTGTTGATGCTGTTGGAGCTGCTGATGCTGATGATGTTGCTGCTGCTGTTGATGCAGTTGTTGTTGCTGCTGCTGATGCTGTTGCTGTTGCTGATGAAGTTGCTGTTGATGATGCTGCTGTTGTTGATGCTGGTGTGGATGCTGCAATTGGTGTTGATGCTGGTGCTGATGTTGATGTTGCGCCGTTACGTAATTGGGCGGTGACTGCTGCCCACCATAATCGGCAACGGAATTCGGTGGACCAACGCGTGCTGATAAGGGATGTCCAGCCACTGCTGCTGCCGCTGCAGCCTGTTGGGCAGCTGCTGCCGCGCTTAGGCTGCTCAACATGGGTGAAGCTGGTCCGGGACCGGTCTGCAACGGTGGCGTATCATTCATGCGCAACATTGAACTACCACCAGCTGAGCCGCAGGCGGGCAAAAGTTGATCTGTCGGCATAACGCATAGTAATTGTGCAATTTTCGCCTTCAAATCAAGCACTTCATCCTCCTTGGCAATACGACGAGCTGTGAAATATTTCAAGAAACAGTATGCATATGAGTAGTGGGATAAGTTATTTCTGGTGTGCGTGTGGGTAACTCACTTTCCGATATCTCCAGTTGGCGCTTGGCGTCACCTAGAGCTGAGAATAAGTCCAGCTTAACTCTCGTCTCGGCTGAAAGATTCTTTTCGAGTGTACAGTTTTTGTCCTGCATCGCGGCCAACGCATTCATCAGCATCTCGGTGCCCGGTTGCGCCGAATCACGATTACGTACCTCAGCCTCGAACATGCGTAACTGTAAAGCATACATATTAAGAATTGTGCACAGCATACATTTAAGGCAACGAATTCACTACTCACTTCCTGCTCCCATTTGCGTCCATGTTGTTCCGCCAATTGTTTAGCTTCTTCAGTCGTTTTCAGTTCACGCCGCATCTGCTTGAGGTCTTCATCCATTTGCTGCTTACGCTGCTTACACTGCGCACTGCATTCTGGCCGTGCGGCTTTCTCTTCGGCAATTTTACGGGCTTTTTTCTCATTATTCAATTGTGCGTCCAACGATTGCTTTTGGCGGCGCTCCTCTGCCAAACGTCGCTCGATCGTCTGTAGTTGCAGCATATCTGCATGCCGCCCATTTGTTAGCTCCTGTATGCGTTTCTCCAGCTCGTCACACTCTTTCTGTTTGGCCTGCAAACAGGATTTCGTAGTCAAATTTGACTCGAGCTTCTGACGCAGTTCATTTTCGATTTGCTTCATGTGACTAAGCTCGGCGCGGTACTTTTTGACATCCGCCTCAAGTTTGAGACATGCTTCACAGACTTTTGAGACCATTTTCGTGGCTATTTGCGAGATGGCGGACGAAACCGAAGCCGATGTAACGGACGACGCTGACGATGATGATGCGGAACTGACCGACGAGGTGGATGAGGACACCGAGGAAGCGTCCGAATTGTTGCTATTGCTAGCGCTATTATGGTTTTGAGTGTTAGCGGCGGCATCTTTACCGTTGCCACCGCTATGGGTGGTGCTGTTCTGTTGCTGGTGATTGTGCGGGTGTGTGTTGGAGTTGTTCGCAATGCTGTTGATATTATGCGAAGTGTTTTGATGATTGTCCTTGGAAGCATTATCTTTGCGCGCACGATTACGACGCCCTGAAAAACAATTTAATTGAATATAAACGCTTGTCCATAAACATTCTCAACTAACCTTTAGTTCGCTCGACTGGCTCCACAGCAACTACATCATCGGCATCGAATTGCAAAACATTACCATTCGCCACCGGCGACGTTGCTCCGGAAGCACTTGGTGTATTCGATTTTTTCGACGTTCGATGCTCATCTGTGGTAGTAAAAAGAGAAGAGACATTAGTATAACTATTCAAGCTATCGAGTAGACAGCTCACCACTTTTCTCTTTCGTTTGTTGCTGTGGTGTTGTAAGCACATTACTGTTATTATTAGCTGACACCTCACAATCGCTCCGCTCTTTCATTGAGTTGCTGCCGCTGTTGTGGCTGCTGTCGACAGCATGAAAACTAATATTGTTGCTGTTCTTATTATGTTTGGAATCTGCATCAGCGCCACCACCACTTCCACCGCCGCCAACTTTGTTCCTATTCTCCTTATCCACGCCGCGACGGTGGCCTTTACCACCAATGTGACCATTGGATGTTGCTGCAATGGAAGGAAAGGGAATTTCAAATTTAAAAATGAGCTACTAAAACACTACAAATAAATAAAACAATAGAGATGAATGATTCACCAATAAATTGAAACAAAAATAAATAAATAAGTAAGTCTAATAAATATAAAAACCATATTAATAATTATTAATTTCCAAATAATTGAAAAAGAATTATTATATTTCTATAAAATAAACAATAAATAAAAAATTTACATAAATAAAACAAAAAAAAAATAAAAATAAAATAATACAAAAGTAATTATATTATATATTCTAACCCATGGATTATATTTTCAAGAATTCGGCGTTAACAACTCTGGTTTTTTTCAAAAACTTTTTTTAATACCGAAATATCTCAAATTAATTTTTAAGAGCCTATTAATTGTCTTAGCGAATAAAATAAATATAAATGCAAAAAATTTTTTAGAACCAAGAATATGATGTGCAATTGTGCTGAATATGTATATATTGCAAATAATAACAAGCCAAAACAAAACTACAGCGAAACCTCATAATTGTTATAAATTAAAGATAACATATTCATAAAAGCATATTTGAAAAAGTGATAATGTATGTACGTATGTATGTGTATATGTACAACGGTGTGAAAGTAATATAGTAGATATATATAGTTTCATTACCACCACTACCACCACCACCACCAAAGGCGGAATTAGAACCAGAGCTATTGCTGTTAGTAGTTATAGACGCTGTTGATGTGGTTGTAGTTGTTGCAGCTATGGAAGCACCGCCACTGCTGATCTGTAAGTAATTTTTATCGTCAGCAAGCGTTGCGGTCGCACCACCAATGCCAGTTGAGCCGCCCGATGCGGACGCTGTTGCTACATTTGTCAATAAACTGCTAATATTATAATTTCCACCACTAGTACCATTACCGCCACCACCTACAACACCGCTATGCGCATTACTGTGGTTGTTGTGATGATCGTGCAACGTTGATGACGGCGGCGATGCGCCTGACGTCGTTTGATTGTGATTACTATGCTGATGATTTTGCTGCGGCGACTGCTGCTGCTGTTGATGGTAATGATTTTGTTGTTGCTGTTGTTGCTGATGATGATGCTGATGATTTTGTGCTTGTAAACTACTCATACTACTACACGTTGCTGCTGCTGCCGCCGCCGCTGCTGCTGTTGCGGCCGCTGTCGCAGCTGCTGCTGCTGATGCCAGCAGGCCATTTGCCGTGGCGAGCGCACTGCACGCAGCCGATGTTGTCACACTGGTAATGGCCGAACTATTCGATGAATTAAATGCGCTAATTGCCGCCGTCACCGCTGACGTATGGGAAGATGTTGTTTGTGAGTTTTGTGCATTACTTTGCGCTGCAAATATAGTGCTCGCACTGGGGCCAGCGGTTACCGCCGCCACTGTGCTGACACCAGCTACAGCGGGCAGCTGTGTCATCGCTGGATCGTCTGTTGTTTCCTCTGGTGGCAGGGCTTGTTGCAATAGCTGCATATAAAACTCATTCTCTTTCGCAACTTCACGTTGCCTGCGCTGTCGTATGCGATAGCCAATGTAACTTTTGAAGCCGAAACCCATCGTCACCACTGGATAGCCAATGCTGCAAAGCAATTTGAATCGATTAGAAGAAGTAACATGGACTTGGTGTTGTGTAAAAAAGTACATACCAATGCGCAGCGAAGGGTCGACACAAATCCAAATGTGGCATATGTCGCGTATCCTTCCATCTGATGCCTGCTTCCAAGTAGACAAACAGCATCCAAAGTATTATTGTAGGCAAGCATATGCCTTTGTCTGTTTGTTGAGAGGTTGAAAGTAATGGTGAGCGATGTGGTGAAGTAAATACAAAATTAAAAGAATATTACATTTTTCGCGCTTCAATATTTAAAAATAATATAATATTTTGTAGCACACATTTTGTTGTTGCTGTTGTTGTTATTACCTGTATGCCATACATATTGCACCCAGACGTAAGTGCTTGCTGCGAATAGCAACCAGTGCACTGGTATAAAAAATAAACACACTAAATCGGATGTTATTGCAATGCATACAAATAACACAGAAAATGCCTGAAAAAAGAAAAAAAATTAATTTCAATATTGAATAAATATTAATATAAAGATTTATGGTTAGCAAAGATAAGAAATTGTTACAAATCTTTCTATTCGTTTGGGAACTTGAATAAATTTGCGATGCTAAATACCAAATACAAAACTGTAATTTTACAAGCAAATCTATTTAAGTACCCAAAAGCTTTCGTAGCAATGTCCTACACTTATTATTAGTATCAAGTCTCGTAGTTGAGCTTACCAATCCTTTAAATTTAAATGAATCATGCACCGATCGTAAAAGTAGCCAAAAAGGCCATAAAAATTCAAAACGAAACATAAACATAAAATCGGCGGTTATCACAATGGCCCAAAGTATCAGGAATTTCAAGTACAGGACAGTTGTGCTGTAAGTAGAAAAAAATTAGATTAGTAAACACTTAAGTAATTTTTAAACAAACAAAATATGTTTTATAAAAAAAATACTTTAAAAAAATTATTTATTATACTAAAAATTACAATTGTATATTATGACGTACACCTATGTATGTACATAATTTCACACCAAAGAAATTGTTCGCGAATAGTTTTCTTTGACCCAATCAAAATTCGAAACCGTTACGACTTAAAATACTGGATTAGCTTAGGGGTAGACTAAATAGAGTATACATTGTTGTTTTAAAACGTATTGCTGGAACGCAGAAACTGTTTACCGATACGGAAAGTTACAAAAACTGTGGTTCCTTTAACGGAAATTTTTTCTAACAAATAACAAACAAATTATATAAAAAGAAATAAAACAAATAAGGAAGTTCTATGTTCGGGTGTAACCGAACATTTCATACTCTCGCAACTTGCAAGGGACAAAGCCCGAGAAATTACTTCAGGTGTTGGCAAAATTTTATATTAAAGGAAGTATTGATCCGATTCAATCAAACCAAACACAAAGACATACTATTGTCGAGAGTTTCATTTAATAATTTTATTATATGAGTTTCAAATATATATCTTACACATTGACCGATATTTTCGGTAAAAAGTCATATAAAGGCATTGGGGTCAATATTTTCAGTTCCTAGGGGCTTGCACAATTTTGGTTCGGTTTAAACAATTTTTGGCCACAAGGTGGCATACTTTTAACGCATTATTCACGTATAGTTTTACCCAGATACAATCATTGTTGCTTGAATTGCATAGTGAAAAGTGAAAGCATTAAATGGAATTTAAAATGGTATTATATGGGAAATAGGAGTGATTGTAGTCCGATTTCGCACTATAACATAGATATATGAGAAAAATGTTATGTAACGGTTAAGCAGATCCCAATATATGGGTTTCACCTAAAAGTGGGCGGTACCCAGCGCACTGTCTAATTTTGAACGCGGTTCCTATAAAGCCATCTCATACCATCCCAGAGATAAAATTTAATGTCTCTGGCGTGTTTAGTGCTTGATTTATTACGCTTTTAGTAACTTTTAACAGTGCCGTTATATGGGGAGTGGGCGGAGTTGTCACCCGATTTCAGCCATTTTCACACTGTCGATAAAGGTGCCAAAAACATTTGTTTTCAGTGAATTTTTTTTATTATCTCATTTTGCAAGCCTCACTAACTTTAAATGATTTAGTCTACAACTGATTGAATTTTGTTTTTAGTTAATTATATTTCTGATAAATGACATGTCTCTTACTTATTTTTAAACATTTTTTTAAGCATAATCCATGCCAAATTTCGTGAAGATCTATTGTTAAATAAAAATTCCATACAAGGACAGAATTTCGATCGTAGTTCAATATCGCCGATTCCGACAAAAAGGGCATATGCAAAATTTGAGATCGATATCTCAAAAACTGTGGGACTAATACGCGTATACACATAGAGATAGACAGAAGGACATGGCTGAATCGACTCAGCTCGTCTTGCTGATCATTTATATATGATATACTTATGTACATTTTATAGGGTCTCCGACGTTTCCTTTTGGGTTTTACACACTTCGCGGCAAACTTAGTATACCCTGTTCAGGGTATAAAAATACATTGTATTAAAAGTATGCCAAATATTCGTATTTTAATTTGACCTCAAATATTATTTTATTAAGAAAAAAAGTTTTATTTTCTAAACAAAACATGATTATAGTTGTTATATAACAATAATACAAATGATTGAAAAAACTGCTTTCCATCATATTGAATTAACAATTAAGGTGTCGCATAATCACAGCATATCACAAACCGCAATCCAATTTTGCTTAAGTGTCAAATATTAAAAAAAAAAAAACAAATACACACGCTGGCCAAACCAATAAGAATAGACGTGCTGGTGTGTATGTGTATGCGTATTGTTTGACAGAAAGAGGGGCCAATATGTACTATCAAATACCGCTTTAAATGTGACCAACTGTCACAAAAGCAAACAAATGTAAATGGATTTGTTTGCTATACTACGGCACCTACCAGCTAGAGCTAATAGCTCAAACAGTCACCGACATTCCTCCCTTCCGTACTTACCGCCCGTATCAAATCAAATGTGTTGTTGTAACGGTAGAATTCTGCCGAGTTGACAGTCCTTGGCCGGATAAAATCCGGGTCCGTTCCGGTTACGTAGACCCGACTTTCGTGGGAACGGGAAAATCAAATTTGTGAAAAGTTATGCCCGTAGTTGCAACACAGAAATCAGTTGTTCTCTTTTGTTTTTATTTCACCAATGTTGCCATTGTTCAATTTGTATACATGATTTTGCCCACATTTAGCTTTGTAGTTATAATATTTCATAATGTAAAAGCTCAAACTAAAATCCAACTATTAAAAATAGTCTACCTATTTATAAATAAATGTATTCGACTGCGAGTTATTTTAAGAATATTTCAATTATATTCAAGTTTATTTTTTAATTATTATACAAAATATGGAGACTGGCAAGCCTGTCAGAACTGCAGAAGCGATGGTGAGTGTTCATTTACATTGCGCTCTCTTAGATAGGTCGTATCAGCTGATTCGGTCCACGATTTTGCGTCGGTGACTGTTTGAACTATAAGTACATACATACCTATATCAAGACACCGACACACACATAGGTACATCATATGTATGTATGTATATGGCTATCAGTCGACTGGAGGCGCGATCATTGGATTGCGCTGCGCTAAATCAATCAAATTCAATTAAGCGCTCCTCGCCAAGACGACATGGCATACAAACACATGCACGAAGAGCACATTTGATTTGTTTGTTTGCAACCCGCAAGTACACACAAATAACCGATTCATATAACTAAAAAAAATTGCGTACACAATAAAATTAAAAAAAAAATAAAAACAAAAACAAAAACGAGTGTCAATAAGAAGACAAAGCGTCAACACTTTATGTTAGTTTGGTTAAGTGTTTGCCTTTCTGTGTACATATAATATTTGTTTATGTCGCCAGCATGCAGCTGAAGATATGTATTTCAAACACTTTTTGAGGCTCCAAATTATGTACATACATACAATATGAGTGTGTACATTATGTTTAAGAGTCAAAATGAGGCTGCGTATGACCGCTACATGAATCACGCGATAATTTTTTTCGTTTTTTTTTTTTGTTGTCGTATCATTTAGTATAAACCAGTAGCTAAAAGTTGTGATATTTTGGAAAGTATTTTTTGTTATTATAGCTTTTAAACCCATGGTTCGGTTTCTTGTTACAACTTTGAACTTTCTTAATTTATAAAACAGGCTGAAAAGTATCTAAGATGTGGCTGGAATTGAATTCACAATTAAACCCAAACTCCAAAAGCTGGTTAATAAATGGAGGAGGAATATTGGTTCGTAAGATATAACATTTTGTTGAGAGTTAGGGCTCGGATGTCACTGAACATTTTATAATCTCGCAATTTGCATGGATGAAAGCCAGGGAAATACTTTCAGATGGTGGCTAAACATTGGTATCTTATTAACTTATACATATACTTATACGAGTATATAACGTTATATAGAGAGTTAGTGGGGTTATCATCCGATTTTACATATTTTCAAACCGTCGGCGGAATTGTCCAAAGCATCTGACCTGAGCAAATTTGGTTGATATGCCTCTAATGTTTTGTGAGAAATGTACATAAAATCTATTAGGGTACCATGCCCACTTCTTAAACACTTTCAAACCAGAGATGCCCCTGCATAATGCGATTCGTTGCAGCAAATTAGATAGATGGATAGAAAGAAATTGAGGCTTGCACCGCGACCTAACGTCTATTGTGTCCTACTCTCTGTCACAACGAATCACATAGGTTCAGCACACTAATAAATTCCAGTATTCCGCTGGGCGCTATTGAGGCGATGGGTTCCTTATTCGGATATACAGAGCCATGCGCTTTGTTCCTGCGTCTACAAACTGCTTTGCAGTATAGAACCAAAAATTATAGTTTTGTACCTTAAAGGCGTCTTCCTTCCCGTGTGAAGGTTTGAAAAAGTCGATTTTTGTTTTGCATAGAAAGTATCTTTAGAGCGCGTGGCCTACACGCCTGAATTATCAAAGGTGTTTTTCTCGAAACTACATTTTTTAAACTAGCGTCCACGATTTCTTAAAAACGGTTCCATCGATAGCTTTAAAATTTTTATGGTAAACTCATATATTCTATACCTATTGCGATTATTTTTAGGTGATACATACAATCGTTGGGTAAACAAAACTATTATACTGTTGCGAGATAAATCCACTTAACTCTACCTCATCCTCAGTGATCTTGATAGCTGAGCGCATTTATTGTTTAGATCTATCATTCGTAGTACTAACATCTAACGGTAGATCCAAAAACAGTTGTTTCGTGAAAGTTGCCCCAGAGACGGGATTTGTGTTTGGCACGATTGGGTCTCAATTAGTGGGGATTCGCCCTGCTATAATATACTAAATGACTCGCCTCTTGCCAGATATGAATAAGGTAAGTAGGTAGGTAGGAAGAGTGCCTGACTGACGACGCACCTAGGTCTTTAGAAGTCCCATTGTATATCCACCCATGTCAATAATGTGTTGTGTTTATTTATTAAATCGATGATTCGATGGTCAGGATTGCTTGACGTTGTTGTATTTAAGGAAGGCACTCTAGAAGTTAATGAAGGTGGCATAAAATTTGTTGCCAGCATAACTAAGCAATATTGTTATTTTAGGAGCAACACTATTTCAGAAATATCAACAACACAAAAGCAACAACATAAAGTTCTAAAATTTGCGAATAATTGTAAAAAGTATTTTTATAAAACAATAACTATATAAAATCGGACTCACCTGCTGTACACACTCTCTGTAATTTTATTACGTTTTATTGGTCGTCGTAGTTTGCCGCAGTCGGCATTGCGTCGCTTCATCTTGTGTCTTAGCCGTAAGAATTAAAATATATAAACTTCCACTGCTATTATATTTTCAATGCGATTTTTTACCAAAAATTTCAATATTTTATTTGCGTTAAGATGCTTCATGCGCGAATTATGGCTGCAACAGCATCACCACACGTTACACACGTACGCACATTAATAACAACAAATGCACAATTTTAACCTCAGTGTTTGCCAAAGAAGAGGTACTGCTTGGCTGTATTGCGCTGGATATTTATGGTCGATTTGACTGCCACTCTTTTTCTTGATGCTGCACTGGCTATTAATGCGTGCAATGACGCGCGCCAAAAAATCACTGTCTATTTCTTTGCAACAACACCGATTACTGGTTGTGCTTTTACTTTGCACTGCTTTAATTTTAGTTGTTATTGTTTTCAAAATTTCACACAAAACTAAATAAGCACAAAAACAAATTGGTCGTTTTGCGTTTTTAGCGAATTCTATACGTTGTCGTGTTTAAGCTTGCTGTTGTTGTTGTCGTCGTCGTCGTCTATTTATAAATCCGTTTACAAATATGTTGCTCGTAAAGTTGCTACACTGCGCCTATGACCGCTGATAAAACGTCATTTCTCAGCAACGACGACTGCTGCTACTGCGGTTGACTGACTGACGCTGCTGCCAGTGCGTTGCGCGAAATTCCAATGCAACTGACAAGTGTCAGAGTTGTGCTCTTCACCTTCTGTGACCAAAAAACTAGCAGCTACTTATGAACGCACGGTCTAGTAGTATTTGGCGATCGGCGGTTTGCAGTCTGGCTGCCTCTATTCTCTGTACACCCTGCACGACGCACTCCTTATCCTTTCTCTAGCTAGTCTAACACGGTTTTTCGTTTTTACTTTCTGTCGTTTTAGTTGTTGTTTTTCTCTCATTCACTTTTTCTATTTATATTTGAAACTCTCCTGCACTTTGTTGCGATGTTCACTTAGAACTCGTCGTCTCCTCGATAAAAATTCGATTTGGTTGTTAGTTTTCACTGCAAAATTGGAAAAAATCAATTCATTTAGTTCTATTTTGGTTTAGGATAAAATGTTGCTCGGTTGAATGTCAAGCTACTAGAAATTTGCTAAACACAAACAAATTAATGGAATTTTTCTAAAATAGGGTGTATAAAAATTGAGAATAAAAAGTTTTGTAAAAATAACAAATTCGAAAATGTAAAGAATGGTTGGATTGCCATACACTATAACTAAATACAATGCGTATATAAATCGAGTTACGAATTTTAGTTGAGCAAATATGTAAATTGATGATTCAGCTGATGAAAAGTGTATGATGGACTATCGATGATTGTCGGATGTTATCTGCTGGTTTATTTTATATCGGGAGAAAAAAAGTTCCCAACTTATTTCGATGAATGCTACCGAGTTGCCGGATATAAATCCGTGTCGCATTCGTTTACGTAAACCCGAGTGATGTAGGAAGTAATGGTACCACTTCATTGCATTCATTGTTTCATTGCAAATATTTCGCCAACCAATTTTTTCTGTGTCAACGGAGTTTTCTTAATTTTCTTTTACTTAGAGGTAAGATTGTAAAAATATTTAATTCGAGTTGGGCAACTCCTCTTGTTTGAAAATAAATATGTATTTAGTTATAATAAATAATAAAAAAAAAAAGATTTTGTATTATTAAATATTACATTTGTGGTTTTTATTTTAATTTAAGTATTGCGCTGACCTTAGCGGCATACCGAGCCCATATACACGCCCACAGTTGACTTTGTAATGATAAGCAATATAATCAAATATAAATATACACATTCGTGTGATGGCATTTCTTCCAAATAAGCGACTCAATGATGACTGATCAAAAACTTTTCCAGTAACTACATCTTCACACATATGATATGTACGCGTACTGGGAGGGAACTTAAACGGCTGAAAATCTGTTTTTGCAACAACGAGCATAGAAGGCGTACATACATGTAAATACACACACACACCTCCACAACTTACTAAACACACATCAGATAACGTTACAAACTAACGCTAAATACTGAGCAATCCAAGTTTTCCGCTGATGGCAGCTTTTCATCACTCCTAATTGACTTAGCGCTCGTGAAAAGTGAAAAACTAGAAGGGTAGAATGAGAAAAAATTTGGGCAACGGGGAACGACGCAACAAAAATCATTCTTATTAAAAAGCGGAAAATTATAAAAAATCGGAAAAGCAATAACAACAACTTAGGAAATATATGTATCTACAAACGTGAAATGCAATAATACGTAATATATTGGCATAAATAGAAATAAACATTAAAATTTTCATTAATTTTTTTGTAAATTTTACGTTGACCGAGTACTACATATAATACATATGTATACATATCGAGCTCTTCGAGCTCAAAAGTTTAATGGGAGTTTAATATAACACTATTTCCCAAATTTCTCAAAGACTAATCAATTTTGGTGATTTCTTTCGTTAACGATTCCTCGCAAGTAAATCAACCGATAGTTTGCGGCAAACGATGTGTTTCTTCAAGGTTTAGAACTGATTAGTTTTTGGTGTCGATCGGTCAAGTCGTTTGGAAAAAAATCGAATTGGTCCGATTGGGTCCAAACTTACACGAAATTCAAGTTCAATGAAACCCTTTGGAATGCCGTTTAGTTTATTCAAATCGGTTGAGCCGTTTAAAAGTTATAAGAGGTTTACATACATCCACACACACACATATACATCCACACATCCACACATACATACAGACATACGGACATCATCCTAGAAATGTTCGGGGGAAGCGACCCTCAGAACGTCGAGATCTGTTGAGAACTCGATTTTTGCAAAATGGGGTGAAACCAATAACTTCCCGATTTTTAGAAAATTTTCAATTTTCTTAGCGGGAAGTTAAAAAACACCTCCAATAGGTTTAATGTGCATATCTCAACCTTTTTTAAGCCAAACTTACTGAGAAGAAATCTTTCTAGCACTTCTTCAAACACTGGAAATAGATGAAATCACTCGCCAATATTAAATTCCATCGGATATTAAACCGAATATTTTGCTCTAAAAGTTTTAATGAAATTAAGTAGATTTCTTAAAAATATGTGGTTTAGTGTTGAATATGAATTGAATTGGTCTAGTCCTTGGCCTAAACCTTATATCCCCAAAATAATGACTTTCGATTAGTTGGTTGACTTATACATATATACCTTTAATTGAGTTTATGTCACTATATGTCATTTGCGCTAATTACCATATGTTGATTTTAAAATAAATATTTCCAACATGAAGCAAAATGTAGTAGTGATTAGATGAGTGAACAGATGAGTCTGACTTATAAGTTTATAATACACTAAATTGGATTATAATCTATTATTTTTGTTCGTATAATGAATGTTGAATTCTTACGCAATTTTTTTATAACGTTTTGCTAACACCTGGAAGTAGACCGGCTTAGATTCTTTCAAATTGCGAAAGTATAAAATGTTCGGTTATAGCAGAACTTACGCCTTCCTTACTTGTTATTTTTTGTTTTGGCATAACCAATCCCAAAATGTTTCGAATTGAGTAATTATTATGCAAAGTGAGGCGTGCGCGCTCAAACACAATTTTACAATAAAAACCAAAAATTCGTACACGAATTGTAACAGAGGCACAACGACACCTGTGTATATAAGTACTTTGGCACCACTTTGTGTGCATGCTAATAGTTGTTGGGTGAAAAAGAGTATGACTATGCTGAGTGCTGGGAGGTGGTTGCATCTGCCTGATTAGGGCGAAAGTAGAATTCACAGACATTGAATTAAATTTCAATCACCACGTTGATAAGCGCGCTTATAAAAAAACATACGAAGACGATAGACCGACCTTAGATGAATGAACGAAGCGAGAGATACGCACACTTAATTATGTATATTAAGAACAGTAACAAGTGGCTGTAAGAACATCATAGAACCATCTTCAATCGAATAGTCTGTCATCAAACGGAAATTGGTAAATTCGGAATACGGAAATGAAAATGAGGGTGCAACATTGAATTTAGCGGAGCAAGATGCTTAAGATACTGGTGCTAAGTCACAGAGCACCTACTAGAAAATCTTTAAAGCTTAACCAATGCACTTTGCTTCTCCTTGGAACTTAACACAATTCGGCCAATCAAAAGTCACACCCTTGAGACACATTCAATCACACAACGCTACTAGAAGACATGGAACAATATAACCTCTTCCAAGGCTGAACATCTGAGGGATCATCTTGTTTTGTTGTTTTTGTTTGCAGATTTTCAAACTTTATCTCTATCAAAAGAGTTTTTAAATTTTTTAAATTATTTCCGAAGTTTTAGCCGTTTTAGTGTCGTAGCAACTGGATCAGTTAGTTGCAGCGGCAGAACTCTACCGAGTTGACAGTCCTTGGCCGGATAAAATCCGGGTCCGTTCCGGTTACGTAGACCCGACCGTCGTGGGACGCGTTTTTCTCGAAACTACTATATTTGTGGTGGTCGACATGATATCTCAAGTACTACTATATTTGAGGTGGTCGACATGATATCTCAAGTACTACTTAACCCACTCTTTTGAAGTTTGATAAAAATCTGACTTATACACATCTTTATCGCGCCTGTCTTGGATTTTGGAAAATTTTAATTTTAAATATTTTTAAAAACTTTGAATTTTTTTATTCAAGTCGACGCCATTTTGTGAATTTTTGCAAAGTTGAATCCGATAGTGACATCTTTACTTATCAAGAATTTTTTCAATTTGTTTTAAATCACTACAAAGGTCGGAATCATGTCAACAAGGAAGAATCGTTTTTATTTGGCAACCCCCACTCCACGATTTTATAGTTAATTATTTTATATTCTTTAAATGTCAATAAAAATCATTAAAAAAAATTGATAGTTAACATGTTTTTAATTAGTTTTATCTTAGTGTGAAAATGCCTAAAATTTAGGCGTCTAGACCAGAATACCCCCTTAAGAAAAATTAAGCAGGGTGCTTTGCAGAGAGGTTTCGTTCCTCAACACTGTTTATTTACATCTCGAAACTCCCCCAAACCACCAGGAGGAATTACCACCACCTGATACGCTGATGATTGCATGATATTGGGCAATGATGTCATCGATTGTGTTCGAAAGTAAACACCTTTCTCCATGACCTTTCTCGCTTCGGCACTGCAAACACTCTCCCCTATCAAATCCACAGGGACCATATTTACGAACTGCACGACGAAGAACAGGCAGAAGCACAATATTTCAGTTGATGTCATTAAAAATCCGGCTGTAAACAACGGCCTGTTCTCTTCTACCTCGCATACCATCGCAATGATTCCAATACAGCTTCGCAACAAAATCCTCAAGTGCTAGCCGGCAACACCCGGGGAAAGGACAAAGATACGTTGTTGGAAACTCATCAAGCGTGAATGCATAACACACAGAAGCTAGAGAGTGTCAGAACCCTGCACTCCTTAGAATAACACGATGCCTATTGATGTTTCTCATCGAACACCTATCCAGTTAGATTCGTATGCTTCCAATCAAGGAACACAACGAACTCCTCAGTTTTAAACAGACAAATTTAACCTTTTTCGATTTATAAATGCTAGTATTCTACGGATTAGATTGATTCGTGTGAAAATTCCAACACAGAAATATTGTATTATAAAAGGAAAAATAACAAAATCAGAACACTCTCACTAAGCAACAGTTAAGTGGAAAAAGAATAAACATGTTGCAATAGTAAGCTTAGCTTAACTTCAACTGATTACTTCCAACACAGACAGCTGGTATTAGCGCAGGCTAACACAACTCACTCTTATTCCCGCGATGTTTTGAAGAACACCTCAGCAATCAACTGCAATTAACTTATACAAATATAACAACAACATAGGCGAATAAGGACACGCAACAATGATGTTTACGACGATAGTAAGGATGTTAAGTGACGAAGAAGGAAACAAAAGCTACTCAATAATGAACGACACGAGCGCTAACAGGCAGACGGCCGTACAAACAAGTAGATAAGGAGAGAAATCATTCAGACATAAGTAGTCAAAGCTGTTGGTTATGCGATAGAGCATGGAAGCTAGTAGTAAGAACAAACAAAAGCAGAGCGATGATGACTGAAGAAGAAACATTGAAACAATGCGTAACATTCCGCGAGTGAGAGTAGGAAACTTATTCAGAGTGTGTTTTGTGCAAGTCTCATCTGGAATTTCGTTCTCCATTGAAATGATGGCGTTGGCGCTGCTGCTGCTGGTGATTATAATGTTGTTTGTTTAGTTAGATGTGTTCCAAAAACAACCCTACTGATGTGCCATACATTATGATGTTTCTCTGCTGACGTTGCGGCACTGTTCACTTGGTTTCGCTCGAAAAACGGAAACGGAAATAATAGTAAGCTGGTAAAGAAAAAAAAGATGCGCACAAAACATAGAAGGGGAAAGCTGTGGACCAAAATAGATGTGAAGCAGTTGTTGCTGTTTAACCAATGAACAGAAGATAAAGTAAAATGGGAAAAATTATTGATACTAGTATTTTGATAGCAGACGAGTTTTGAGGGTTGAAATGTGTCGAAATAGTTTGAAGTGGTTGGTTGGTAGACAGAATGATTTATGTATGAAAGACATAAGGCAGTAAAACAAGTGTTGCGTGATCTGACAATTAGGAGCGAAAATATTATTGATAACGGATTTTTTACTATATAATTTAATTGTAAAACTTTTTGTATCTATTTTAATTTCCCTTAAGATATCATGTAGCAAGGATAAACTTTACATAGTACGATATATCTATATACGAAATTTAAAAAAAGCCTACTGAAATCAGTTTCATTTACACAAACGTAGCACTTTTAAAAAAGTAGATTTTCTCAAGCTAGCCAACATTTTTTTATTGTAAACTGTATACATCGGTTCACTTTTCTCACAGAAGAATGTATGTATGAACATGCATATATGTATATTTTACAATCCGGGTGAAGATTAACTTGGACTGCAAAATGTGTTTTTATAATAAACAATCTTTATGTTAACGTTAAATTTCCACAAAATGCTTTTGGAACACAACACAATAGTAATAAATGCTACATACGAGTATATTGAAATATACTTAGTGATTTCAGAACTATATTTCATTTTTAGATTTTTCGTATTTGTGGTACGCGAACACGCATTTCACTCTAAACTCGTTAAATATGCAAATAATCCACAAACAGGCGATAACTTGTGACCGCATTGGTGTTTGTAGTGGCAAAGGGCTGTTGCTGATATGCCGCCATCAGCAATGAAACCACAAGCATTTGTGTATATATGTAAAAGAGAAGCATATGTAATATGTTTCACCACGGTTTAGCATCAAAACGACACTAAATTACCAAATATGTGACGATTTGCTAATATTTATGTGAATAATGCTTCAGTAATTTTTAAAAACTTCGATACATTTTACACACTAAAAATATATATACATATATTGAATCATATAAAGCTAGATTCACAGTTTTATGCTTGTAAATATCCGAAAACTTGCTGAACATTATGTCAAACGGCCCGGCTGCAACAACTAAAGCAACAACTAAACAAAATGCAATGATGAAGGCAACTGCTATTGGATTTTGCAGCATCCACTCTATCAAATGTGTGTATGTGCTTATTGGACCCCATACCTGTTACCACCTCCCCTTTATATCTTTCCAAACACAACAAATGTTTGCTTTCTCTCTCATTCGGTCTAGTAGACTAAGAGAGAGTGCCTACGAAGTTAACGTTAACATTATAAAAAAAAACAGCGCACGAAGGCAGCGCAGGATGCCATCGCCGTCGCAGCAGCAGCAGATTTTTTACCGTTGCTCATACGACAGCAGTGACGCTGACATATACGTAGTTGCTGAGCGCGATGTTCACGGCTCGCTACTGATCACAGCGGGGGAACTGCACTGCAACAAAATAAGTAGCAAAAACACCAACTTGCGAAATATTACAATCTGATTAGTGTGCAAAATTCGCTCATAATTTGAATAAACTCTTTCACTTTATTAAATGCACTCAATCACTGATACTGGCATTATATATGTAGTTTACTCGGCCGCTGCGACGTTCTTTGCCAAGTTGGCTCAAGTGTCATATACGCTATTAAAATGCAACTAGCTTTTGCGATAAAAGCGACCAATCACTTATTTTGCACAACAAGAATTTTGCAAACACTGCACATGAATACAGCAAACAAAAATTTACAGAGAACTAACTTCTAATATGCAAACGACGACAACCGCAGCGACGTTGGCGTCGTTGTCGAACTAGCAAGGAAACAACAAGAGTAGCTGCAATGAAAAATTTTTTCTTATGCGCTTAAAGGTTGCAAATGGCATTGTTCTTTTTTGTATAATTTGCACTGCACTTATGCTATTGTCGAAGGGAACTTTTCTGTGATAATTACACTGATTTTCTTCACTTTGGTGCTGTTTTTACCGCAGTAAAGTAATTTTTTCGAATTTTTCACTCCTTGCTGCCGTTTTTTCGATTCGTCGCGACTCGTCGTAGGATGATTTATGTCGCTGCCAGATGTTGCCAATAGTAAATAGCCACAATCTAATTGGATAGGGATTTAAAGAAACCTCAACAGAATTATTGTTAAAGAGATAACAAATAATATCATAAATTAAAAGAAAATTAATTTTAATTTGCTAAACACTTTGTGTTGTTACTCAAGTTCCAACTTTAAGATTATTATGATAAAAATTGCAAGTGTAAGAAATAAATAAAATAGACTACATTGAATTCGGAAGGGTTGCAATTTATGCGCAACAGTCTTGCATTATATATACGTGGGTTAATAATACACGGTCATTCTGTTTCAAAGCCATTTGCTAGTTATGTATTCGTTTTATAAAATATTCAGAAAATTCTATAAACTATGTACAGTATTTAAACTTAACAAAATTATAATATAAACTTAAAAAAATGTGATAATTAACTTTGCAAAGAAATGTTTGTAATAAAATATTGTTAGTTTGCAATTGGCAACACTATAAATATTAATTCCTACATAAACGTGCGACTATGCTAAATCTTTCCGGTTGTCAAATTTCTCAAAGGTTGCAGCACAATTCCAGCGCTGCTAATTTTTTATAGTCAAAGTTTAAAGAAGACTAATAAAATACACAAAGATGGCTTTCGGCGATGTCTCAACCCCACAAGGTCTAAAGGAATTGGAGAAATTTCTTGCTGACAACAGTTATATTAGTGGGTAAGTGTTGTGGAAGTGTAAAGTTGACAGCGGCATGCAGCCGCGCAGAAAGTGAGGTTATGTTATATACGTCGTCATGTCGGCAAATGTTTTAGCAAATTTATCGCATATTTTTTTCAGATATTCGCCAAGCAAAGCTGATCTCTCGGTGTTCGAAGTTTTGGGTAAAGCACCAACCGGCAACTTCCCACATGTGCAACGTTGGTATCGCCACATTGCATCCTATGAGGCTTTTGAACGTGCTGCCTGGGGTGGCTCTCCATTGCCACAAGTTGCCGGTGCCAAGCCCACAGTTGCTGCTGCACCAGCTGCAGCTGATGATGACGATGATGTAGATCTCTTCGGCTCTGATGAAGAAGAAGAAGATGCAGAGGCTGCACGCATACGTGAGGAACGTGTTGCTGCCTATGCTGCTAAGAAATCGAAGAAACCCGCGCTTATTGCCAAGTCATCAGTATTGCTGGACGTCAAGCCCTGGGATGATGAGACCGACATGAAAGAGATGGAGAATAACGTACGTTCTATTGAGATGGACGGCCTTTTGTGGGGTGCCTCAAAGTTGGTGCCAGTCGGTTATGGTATTAACAAATTGCAAATTATGTGCGTTATTGAAGACGATAAAGTGTCTATCGATTTGCTGACTGAAAAGATTCAGGAATTCGAAGACTTCGTACAATCCGTTGATATTGCTGCCTTCAACAAGATCTAAGCAAGGAGATAACCGCATCCTTTTGAAATTAAATTACTTTTTTAAACTGATGAAACGAAAATATAATAAGAAGCAAAGCACAGCAAAGTGTATTTTTTAAATTATTTGTGTAATTGCTTCTGTCATTTTAGAGTTAATTTTTATTGGTTGACATAATTTTTTGCAAAAAATACACATTTGTTGCAGAAAAATCCAGCAATGTGAAAAATTGTTTTCCTTGTTGTACAGGGTGTTAATTATCTTTAAAAATTTACAGAGTAAAGAGTTCGTGTCTAAACTCCTCTGTTTTTGTGCTTATAAGCCAAGTTGAATCGGAGCTTTTGCTTCAGCCGCTCTTGCTACTATTAAGCTTATGCTATGGCGCGTTGATTATCTGCTGATCAACCCATGCACGATCTTTCTACACAATCAATAGCTGAACGCTAAATATTCGCAAACATTTCGTGTGCCTGACTCAGTTGTTTATAAAACGCGAACGTGAGAAGACTGCTAACGGAACAGGAAAATCAAATCGCGCTTAATCACCCAGCTCTCAGTGTAGTGAAGTTATATCGACTCAATACATAATCGATAAAAACACTTTATTAAGTCTGTACGAATAAAAACTGAAATAAAAAATCTAAATAAACAATCACCAACATGTACTACGGTAAATATTTGATTGCTGCGCTGTTTTGTGTGGGCTTTGCTATGCTGATCAATGCACAGGGTGAGAATAAAACTTGATTATTGTTTAATTTTATTTGTGTTTATATTTCTGTTTGTGCACCTGAGGTGTGAAGTGGAGACAGCTAATGATATTGAATTGTATGGGAAATACACACATATATCTATGTATACCGATTGTGTTAGTTTTGAATGTTAATGTGAGTAAAAATATGCAAATTATTAGCAAAGCTAGAAAATAAAACCGAATTATAGAATAAATGGTATCGAGAAATGTACATTAGTTTTATTATGAAATTATAACTGTGAAGCGGCTAAATGGCAGCAAGTCCGGCTTCAGCGCATTAAATTAACATTTGTTCGCGCTTTGATTCTTTTGTCTTAATTTTTAATTTCTTTTCGTGTGTTTGTATTTGGCACACAATGAATTTCTGCTGCCATTCGTTCAAATATTATTTATTGTTTGCTATTAATTTGTTAATTTGTAGTTAAATAATGAAAACTTGTATTGTCGCATGTTTTAGTGAAAAAACAGGAAATGTTTTTGATCAATAATAAGTATTAGCAAATTTCAGATACTGAAATAGTATATATACATATAAGAGTATAACTTACATAATAAAAGAGAATTTGGAGTTTATTTTTTTTATTTTACAAAAGTATTAAGAAGAAAATGAAGAGATTTCTTGTTTATTAACTTAAAGTATACAAAGATGTACTATTTACAAAAAAAAAAAAAAAAAAAAAAACAACCTTAACACAAATTTACAAAAATTACTATTTTTAATTTTTCTTTATTGCTCACGGAAGGAAAGGAAATTTCCTGAAAATTAATTGACAAAAATTATATAGCTGATTTTGCCAAATAATTTTAATGCAATTTCCGTTCTTTTGCAAATCTGTTTTTGATTGTTTTTGTTTCAAAGTAAAATATTTTATGTTTTGAATGTGAGTTAAAAATCCGCGTCAGTTTGTTGGCACACATCCCATTTGACCACCGTTTTTTGAACACCGACAGTTGTTGTTGCAATATCTAGTTTTAAAGCTTTACTCCGCCTTAAAAATGTTTTATTAGAAAGGTTAAATATGATTAAAATTAGTTCCTAGATTTGATGTTTCAGTGTTAGAAGTTAGCTTTGAGGTTTTTTCTATTTTAATTAATATTCTTTATAATTTTTTATTTAATTACAACTCTCTCTAGCATTTTATTTGAATTTACCGTACAATTCTTTTTTCTTTTTTCCTGTGCTACCATTCTCTTCTGGTAACAAAAGCTAAGCAAATTCTAGCCTAACCTAAAGTGTAGTGTGTTGTTTTTGTAGCAAGACCAAATATGCTTTTATTCTTAAATACCAATTTGATTGGTCAGATTTTCATTCTTGTTGCTCTCTTAAAGTTTTCGCCTTAAAGTTTTTCCAATTTAGTTACTTCTTAGCATTGTGTATTAAATGACAGTTCTTGCATAAATAATAATATCCTATTGAATAATAATTCATGCATGAGTGTTGCAATCAAACACCAAGCTTAAATTATATATATGTAAAATTGTATATAACTTAAAATAAAATAATTGCTATCAACGTAAGCAGTATTCCGGCACCTATAATTAGCAGTCTACCAACTGAAAAAAATAAATAAAATATGACAAAGCTGCATTAAAAGAATTTCATACTTAGCGCAGCAATTTGCCCGCCGTGAGAAGCTGTTCGCGTATAGTCAATTAATTCCGATAAAGCATCTCTTGCGTGATTTGGTGACACGTCAAAATACAATAAACATTTTTGTTGAATTTCCCAAACGTTTTAACGTCTTGGTTTTTACAGAATCGCGCAAAAAATCCCCAATTTTGAATAGTAAACGGATAAAATTTATATAAAAATTTTATAAAACTAATGAAGGAATCAAATACATAGGAGAGAAAAAACGAAAAAAACCAAAGCTTAATTTTTATTGCAGATGTAGCAAAAATAAGCAAATAAGTGTATGAGCTATATATGTATGTATATGTGTATCAAAAGTCGAGTCTTATTAATAAGTTTTGATGTCATGCGGCGCAAGCGAGTCATCAACTGGTTGAATGCCAACTAAACTTCATGTTTTTACGTTTTCTTTCGACTTTTTTTTTAATTTTTTCTTGTTTTTATTTTTGTGCTTTTTAATTTATCTTTTTTGTACTTTTTCTTTTCTTCGTTTTAATTTAATTTAATTTTTTCTCTGTCTTTGTTTAGTTTGTTGTAACAGAATTTATTATAATATGTTAATTTCCATAGAAATTAATTAATTATCAATTCTTCGTCAATAAAAAAACAAATGTAAATAGTTAAGTCAGCAACCGTTAGATTGGAAATAAGTAAACTAATGGTGAACAACCTCTAACATAAACATTTATATTTGCATATAGAGAAATATTTATGATATGAAGCGAAAGAGCGAACGTATTTTTGGCGAAATTATATTAATATTGCTGTTTTAAAGTTAACAGCAGTTAGTGAATACTACAACTGAGCTTTCGAAATTTGTTATTTTTAATTTCTCAAATTAAGCTTTTAAAATTAGTTTTATTTGCTGTGTTAACCAAAAAATCATTATTTTGTAGCAACACACCTCTAATACATAGAACATGTGTGACCATATGGTATGTACTTACATATGTATTCACAACATGCAAATATAATCATTGCGTGTCCTATTTTATGAAATCGGATTAAATCGTACTTAATCGAAAAGTATTAACAAAATACACAGAAAAAATTACGCCTTGATTTCGCCTTCGCCATATTATATAAACATACATGCATGTATAAACACATATCATAAATATAGTTGTACATACTTTTTTATACTTTGTGACATCAAATGTTAATTTTCGCTACAAAATAAACCGCTTAACGTCAAAGTTCAGTAGAACGAATTCAAATATAAACAATAACACGAAAGTTTATTTACAAACATAATAAAAAAATTATAAATAAAATATATAAACTACTATAATCAGCTAGCAACAGATAAGCTTTGTGAATAAAACGCTTTTTTTGCAATTATTTTGACATCAAGTTTTACCGTTTTCTGACTGTACCTCTGAAGACAAATTGTTAAATAAAAGTTAGTTTTATTTCGTGTTTTTTATTTCATGTTTGAATAATCTTAATCACACTTTGTAATGCTCTCTAGTATTTAAATTATACTTCCAAATTTATGACGTTCTATATACGAGTAAATCAAACTCCTTATATTTAAAGATTAAAAAAATTTTTTTTTCTTACTATAAGTCTTTTTTAAGCTCCCGACTTTTAGTACTGCTAAATCTTTAATCCTCCAAACATTAGACCCATTGTGCGCCCAAGTGGCAACCTATGAAGCCTTATTCAGCAACTCAATGGATTTGATAAAATACTTGATATTTTGCCGTCCAAGCTGACCAAGTTCAAATGTTTTTAGTTGGAACTTTGGAAGTCGTGGAAGATAATATAATTTCAAGCTTCTCATCATCATTCCTACATGCTCTTCATTCTGCCGATTCTACTTTACTTAGTTTTAGTTAAGAGACTTACTCTACTCTACGGTAGTTCAGTGTGCGCTTTCTACAAGAAATACTTCTAAGATAGCTAAAAATTGGACCAAGAGTTGATATCCGACTATTATTGTTAAAAAATATTGCTGAAATGTATTGAAGGTTATTCTGCAGAGTTGGTCATCCTCTGTCAGATATATAACAGGTTTTGTTCCAAGTACGGAGACCCGACTATCAAGAAAATAATCTGAAGTTATCATTCATCTCAGGCTTTAAATTTCTGACCTCACTGAGACTGTAGTCAAACATAATATGTATGTAAAAATACTGTTAATACTTCTTAAAATAGAGTTTATCCATTAAGCTTTATATTTGTATATATATTTTTCGGTTTTTTTACACACTGCTCATAATTAGTTATGCGAGACGCGTGTAACTTGTCACCCTGTTCATTTTGTTCACGCTCGTAAATAAATCTTTTCACTCAGATCAAGTAAAAAGAATCGACCCTTTGTTATGTTTTTAGCGATAGCACGTTCGATTGCAACAATAATTCGAAAACATATTTCTAAATTAATGGATGAATATATTTTGTTGTAATAGAAAACAAAGACCTTTTGTCAAAGTCATCTTTTTATCATATATGAAGGCACGATGGAATTCCTTTTACGATTTAAATTCCATCGCCATACGCTTAAGAAATTATAAACGTGTTAATGATGCTAATGCGATGTCAGTTGCTGTACGTCAGGTCCACCATTTGCTTTCCCAAAATGGACCCCTCTTTGAATTCAAATTGAAGTCAGTTAAAGTCTCGCTGTATTTTTATACTCTCGCAACTTGTTGCTACAGAGTATAATAGTCACTAATCAAGTGAGATATAGGGTTATATAATATATATATTGTATAAATGATCAGGTTGAAGAGACGAGTTTATATCAGGGTGACTGTCTGTCCGTCCGTCCGTCTGTGCAAGCTGTAATTTTAGTAAAAATTGAGATTTCTTTATGAAACTTGGTACAAATGTTTCTTGGTAGCACTGCCCACTACCACGCCCACAAAGAGCCATTAATCAAAAACAAATAAATTGCCATAACTAAGTTTCACAATAACCTACAAAACTGTTATTCGGTATACAGGATCACATTAGGGAGGGGCATCTGCAGATTAAAATTATTTAAAATGTGTGCGCGGTCTCGCCCCTTAATATGTTAATGTGCATGTGTCCTAAACCACTAAAGCTATAATAACAAAATTCACTGAGAACAAATAATTTTAGCATCTTTATCGACGGTACTGTTAAAAACTACTAAAAGCGCGATAAACCAAGCACCGCCCACTTTTAGGTGAAAACCCATATCTTGGGATTTGCTTAACCGATTTCAACCAAACTCGGTCCATAACATTCTTCTCATATTTCTATGTTATAGTGGGTGAAATCGGATTACAACCACGCATATTTCCGATATAACACCATTTAAATTCCATCTGATTTTTTCACTTTCCAGTATGCAAATCAAGCAACAATGATT